GTCAGTGCATCAGGGAAACATGTTGAGACTGAACTGATGGAGCGAAGTGAATCCACTGTATTAATCCAAAAATGCTTCATATACACAAAGTATATCATGTTTCTAAACTACCACCACAAACAGTAAACATACCTGTATTTAACATACAATTCTTGATAAAATGTCACCTTAATATCATCTAATGAGCCTAAATGAGCTATCTGATGTCAGACAACATTGTTTCCATTCATAAATGTCAGATTTTGTCTTTACCTTACACACTTGTTTGAACACGTTTGTTGTCCTGGTGTCAGACTTACTTGGCCACTGATATATATTAATGTTAAGGTAAAGGTAAAAGACAAAACATGCAATTAAATGGTTTCACAGGGAATAATACTAATGTAAAGGTCACATGGACCATGTTTTTTTTTTTTTTTTTTTTAAATCCTGTATAGACTGTTCTGGCTTAAAGTGTGTAAGTAGCACATGATATGTAAACAAAAGTGTACTTCTTGACCTGTAAATGAGGATAATCTGTATAATCTGTAAATTCACCTTTGTTATTTTTTTAAATCTCAACTCGTACTTGTTTGTTGCACCTACATCTGATCATATTTCTATGAACACAACATGCAGATCATTAAACTGGAGCAGTATCTATGTAAACAGAGTCACTTTAATTACCATTTACTGTTACATTTTTGTATTAATATCATGTTTTTTGCACATCAGACAGTGAGTCAGTACAACGTTGAGTTTGTGTAATGACCAAAAAACATTTTTCCAGAAATGATCATTCTGAAGGCTGACCTGAACCAGCTGTAGAAGAAAGCATAAATGAAGGGATTGAACATTGAATTCATCAGTGCAAGCCAGCTTAATGTTTCCATCAAAGGAACTGGAACTGAATTATTAGTGAAAGGCAGAAAGGTGATGCAAAGAAAGAAAGGAGTCCAGCACAGAAGAAACACTCCCAACACAATAGCCAGAGTTTTGGTGGCTTTTCTCTCCATCCTACTAACAGCTGCTCCAGACTTTGTCGTGGTCTGAAGGCTTCGAGCTTGTTTCTGTGCAACCAGGAAAATCTTCAGGTAGATACACAACATTATGAGCACTGGGAGGTAAAAGGATAATATAGGTCCAATCGTGTTCGCCATTAGAACTTCAATAAAACACATTTCCTCACACTTTTCATTGCTTAATCCAGCAATTGTGACCCCGATTCCAATTAGAGCAGAAACCCCCCAGCTCACCAGGATCATGTTCACGACAACACGAGGACTGATTTTAGCTCTGTAAGTCAGAGGCTGACACACTGCGTAGTATCTGTCCACAGAAATACAGCAGAGGTTCAGGATAGAACA